TGGAGGGGGATGGGGGTCAGCGCTTGAGGGGTCCCTGTATGTGAGAGGGGGCAGGCTGGGCTGAGGGACACTCCCCCGAGGGACCCGACCCATGCACGAATTTCGTGCACCGGGCCCCTAGTAAATAAATAAATAAATATCCCCACCGGTGTGGCTCAGTGGTTGAGCATCAACCTATGAACCAGGAGGTCACGGTTCGATTCCCAGTCAGGGCACAGGCCCCGGTTGCGGGTTCGATCCCCAGTAGGGGGTGTGCAGGACTGGACGCCCTGGTTCATAGGTTGATGCTCAACCACTGAGCCACACCAGCCGAGCCACAGTTTGCTCTTTAGAAGCCCTGGGTCATCATCCTGTTTGAGCTTCTGTGGCAGCTGGACTCGCCCCAATTCACAAGCTCCTGGTGTGGCCTCGGCCACCGGAGCTCGGACGTCACAGAAGCCCCGGGGGCCAGGCCGCAAGTGGACAGACCACTGTGCTTCCTGGGGACCTGGGAGGGGGGCTTCCTTCCACGGAGAAAGGAAAAAGCCACAGTGACAACGAAGCTGAATTTGAAATCCCCCAGAGAGGGCCCCGCGACAAAAACAACAGTGCTCACGTGGGAACGTCGGCGCCAGAGGACCTGCGGGGATCGGAGACGGACGCCCCCCACCTCCCCGGGCAGGGGAGCGTCCTCTTTGGCTGACTCCCCTGGCTCGGTGCTGCCTACCATTCTGCAGCGCGGATCCAGGAACATGAGCGAAGGAAACGGAGGGAACGTGTCCTGGGAGCCAAGCTGAAGCCAAGAGCAGGACAGGCGATGTGAGCCGCACGGGAACGCAGCCAAGAGCCCGTTCCCGGGCCAGCTGTTTTCCAGCCCAAACCTGTCCGATGGCTCAGCGTGGCCTGCGGTTCTGGGACCCGTTCTCCACGGGAAGGAACCCTATTGAGCACTGGCACCTTCTGCCGGTTCAGTGGGGCCCACGGCGCAGGAATAGCAGCTACTGCCAATCCGGTTCTGAGGGGAAAGAGAGGGAGGGCGGGAGGGCCCAGCCGGCCGGCCGGCGTGGCTCAGTGGGTTGAGCATTGACCTAGGAACCAGGAGGTCACGGTTTGATTCCCGGTCAGGGCCCATGCCCGAGTTGCAGGCTCGATCCCCAGTGTGGGGTGTGCAGGAGGCAGCTGATCCATGATTCTCTCATCATTGATGTCTCTCTCTCTCTTTCTCTCTCTCCCTTCCTCTTTCTGAAATCAATAAAAATATATATTAACAAACAAAAAATAATAAATGACACCCTACATTTTAAAAAACCAAGAGGCGGTGGGTGAGGAGGGCTCGGCGGTGCTTGCGGCCTGGTCCGTGCTAATAGGATGGTCCGTTCGCGCTCACACACGTCCTCTGCGCCATGTCCTGCCCAGGCTCCTGGGGAAGAGGCGTGGGCTTGGGGCCCTGGACACCGTCCTGGGCAGCCTGAGTCACCCCGTGCATCTGAGTCCCAGAAAGAGGCCGCTCGTTTGGAACCAGTGATGCAGACACCTCTTCGGAGTCCTGAGCAGGAGGGAGTCCGGGGCAGACGGGGTTGTGACCAGAGGGATCGGCTGGTCTCCTCCGGCTGGTGCACCCTGAGCCTCGGTGGCCTGCCTTTCGGGACCTACCCTGTGCTCCCCAATAGCCTGTGTGGCTGATGGGCCTGCAGGACCCGAGACCTGGCCCCGGGGGTCTGGCAGTCCCGGGCTCTGGGGCGCCCCTCCTGCCCGCAGGTTCACTCTGCAGCTGAAAGAAAAATCCCACAGCGGGTCCTGCAGCCCAGGGACGGGAAGGGGCAGCCCAGGGCAGGGCGCGTGGCTTTCCCCTTCCAAGCGTGTCGGTTGCACTTTTATTGTTTTTCCTCCCTAGACGTTAGGTCGTCTCCAGGATGAGACGTCCCTCTCTTCTAGAATTTCCAGGAAGCCCCATCGCCTCCCACGTGTTAGAGTGAAACGGAATCCAAACCGAAGTTTGGGGCTCTTTCTCCCGATTCAGGAAAAAATTGGGAGCTTGGCAACGCGAATGGAAAGACACACACACACACACACACACACACTGGCCGTGAATTCTTGGGGTGTTTTTCTCATTTGAGGCCGCGGGTGTACGTTTTATAAAACGCACAGGAGAATTCCAGCTCAGAGAGCAACTGCTCGGGGAGATAGAAACCCTTGTAATTCATGTTGTGCATAATGGCTTTGGCAGGCCCCGGCACAGAAATTTCCAGAAGTGTTTGCGTGGCAGCCGCTCGTAGCCAATTCACATTTTTTTTTCTTTTTTTTTTTTTTTGGAGCGGTCCTGGCCGGCCGCCCAGCCTACAGAAAAAGTCTTGTATCTCCCCGAGCTTGGCTGGCCTCGCTGACGCGCTTCCAAGCGGCATGGCAGCCTTGGCCGGGCTCCGTTCCCAGGGCCAAAAAGACTCCTGCTACTTGCGCTGTTCCCCAAGACCAGATGTGCTGAAGGCAGAGCGAGCGCGGCCAAGCCCAGAGTAATCACAGAACCCGTCATTAACATTTTCTAAAAACGAAAAAAAAAATGCCATCGGAACACCAGATGACTGTTTGCCTTTGTTTGCTTCACGCCCTGTTACTGGAACCCTCGGGGGGATGGGAACAGGAGGGACACTCCCAGCTAGGGCTCTGCAGGACCGGCTGTCACCCCACTGGAAAGCCCTGGAAAGTTGAAGAGGACAGATTTGACCTTGAAGGGGAGGAAGGTGGAGGGGACGGGAGGGTGAGCTGGGACTTGGCAAAGGGGAAGATATGCAGGAGTTGAAGCCGTGCCCGCCGCTGCTGGCAGCATCAGAGGCGTCTGGGCGGCTTGGAGAGACCAGGAAGCCGTGTGGCTGGGTAGGAGCCCTGGCCGGGCTTCTGTGGGTAAACCTTAAAGTGTTTATTTTATTTTTAATTTTTTTATTGATTTCAGAGAGGAAGGGAGAGGGAGAGAGAAACATCCATGATGAGAGAGAATCATGACCGGCTGCCCCCTGCACACCCCACACTGGGGATCGAGCCTGCAACCCGGGCATGTGCCCTGACCGGGAATCAAACCGTGACCTCTTGGGTCATAGGTCGATGCTCAACCACTGAGCCACGCCGGCCGGCTGGGAGACCTTAAAATATTTCTTAATGCAAAACCTCCAATTTCATATCCTCCCCCCATCACTCTAATTCCTTCTTTTCTTCCCTCCCTCCTTCCCTTCCTTCCTTTTCTTTCTTTCTTTCTCTCATAGTTTTCCGGGATCCAGTGGGAAAAAGAACTGTGGCTGGCAGTCTCGCTTCTTGGTCCGATCACGGTCACTCCTGCTATCTGCCCTCTCCTCCCCACCCCACACCCTGGGGACTCGATCCTCCAAGTCCCTAGGCCTTCCATTTTTCTAGTCCCTTCCCCAAACTCAGAGTTCTGAAAAGACCATTCTCGCCTGGCCGGTGTGGCTCAGTGGTTAAGCATCAATCTACGAACCAAGAGGCCACATGGTTCAATTCCCGGTCAGGGCACGTGCCCGGGTTGTGGGCTCAATCCTCAGTGTGGAGTGTGCAGGAGGCAGCCGATCCATGGTTCTCCCTCATCATCGATGTCTCTCTCTCTCTCTCTCTCTCTCTCTCTCTCCCTCTCTCTCCCTCCCTTCCTCTCTGAAATCAATAAAAATACATATATTTTTAAAAAGCCACGGAGAAAGTCAGCCCCACACCGGCCTCGTGTCTGCCCGGGTGGACGCCCCCCTGCCTGGCCAGCAGAGCCTCTGAGGACGCAGCTGGCTGGCTGTGAGAGCAGGGGTTCGCGCTCATTGCTGGGGGACGGGAAGAAAGGGCCGGCCCCCGAGCAGGGTCAAGGGCGGGCTGTTTTGTTCTCTAGCAGCAAAACAGAGAGGCCACAGGAAACCACCCAGGCAACACGCTCTGCGGAGGGCAAGTGAAGGCTGAGCCTGAAAACAAAAGTGGAGCGCGTCTCCTTGGAGCTGTTTATGTTACATAAGTCAAATAAACACAGGCAGGCGAGGACAGCCTCCGCCTCCGTGGGGGCCAGCGCCGCAGGGCCCGGGGCCCGGGGCCCAGGGCGGGCAGAGGGCGTCTCCTCCAGCCGCTGGTCAGAAGCGCTTCTCCCCAAACCACCACGGTAATAATACCAGGGGGACACACCAGTGCGCCTGAGCTGGGCAATCTGAATGCACGCAACAGAGGGGCGTCATTGCAGGACTTGTCAGTGCCTTTCTTCTCTGCAGCTAAGGAAATACATCCTCATCAGAGCGACAAGAAGAAGCAAAACTGATACCAGAAAGGCTCTTTTCTTTCTCTTTAAAATATATTGATTTTAGAGAGGGAGAGGGAGAGAGAAACATCCATGATGAGAGAGAATCATGGACCGGCTGCCCCCTGCACACCCCACACTGGGGATCGAGCCCGCAACCCGGGCATGTGCCCTGACCGGGAACCGAACCGTGACCTCCTGGTTCATAGGTCGATGCTCAACCACTGAGCCACGCCGGCCGGGCCACAAAGGTTATTTTAATTTGCAAATGAGGGACCTGAGCTGCTGGGAGGATCAGCAGGGGCCCAGAGCTCTCGGGCAAAGGGGAGAGGGGAGGGGTGGGGGGCACCGGGTAGGCAGCCAAACTAGCCAACTTCTGAGACTTCAGCCCCGTCGGGCAGTGCCACGGAGTCTGTGTGAAGAAGGGAAATAGAAAAGCTACCAACTCCGTCCGTGAGCTCAGGCCCAGCTGCCCCAGGGCGGCCCGAAATCACGGTCTTGAAATCGAGAGCAGGCGAGAGCCTTCTGCCGCGGGCAGTCTCCTGTGGTCTGCCAGGGATGGGAATAGAAATAGCAACTGAGAACACGGCCTCGCACAGGCTGAGGGCATCCACGGCCAACAGCTGCCCATGAGTAGGCACTGGGGCCGTGTGAGCGGATCTCCTCTCTCTGAGGCTTGTGTTTAAAAATATATCTTGCTTCTGCTCAGGGGTTCGATTCCCGGTCAGGGCACAGGCCCGGGTTGCGGGCTCCATCCTCAGTGAGGGGTGTGCTGGAGGCAGCCAATCCATGATTCTCTCTCTCTCTCTCTCATCATTGATGTTTCTCTCTCTCTCTCTCTCCCCTCTCCCTTCCTCTCTGAAATCAATAAGGATATATTTAAAATAAATAAAGTGCTTGGCAAGCATCAAAGTCAAGATCGGGTGCTGAACGGTGCCCCCCTCACCCACCCTAGCAGATGCATGACCTGTGCGCCCGCGGCCAAGTTCCGCTGACGGACGGACCCCAGGGAGGGCTGTGCCCCGGCCGGCTCCGCGGGGAGCTGCCCCGGCAGGAACCCCTGACACCAGGCAGGTCCCAACGCAGGCTCTGGGGAGAAAACAGCAGGTGATGAGCTGGAAGGCGGGAGGCTGCCAGGACCCACCCCTGGGCGCCCAGCGCCTGGCACCGCTTCCCCGAGGGGAGGCCGCGTGACCGGGTCACGGCAGGGTCAAGTGTGAGTCTGCCTCAGGGAACCCCTGGGGACTCCTTGTGGAAAACAACGGGCCGCAGCAGCTGCTTAAGGAAAGGGGTCCCTGGGAGCCCTCCGCTTGCAGGAGGCGGTTGCCAGGGACACAGGAGGCAGACAGCGGGCAGGGCGGGAGGCCCAGGTGAATTCCAAGTAGTTAGTGGTCCCCAGCTCCGTGGAGATGTGAAATGGAACAGTGAGGATGAGGGTGACGAGGGTGACAATGGTCAGGGCTGGTGGGGCTTGAGGAACCATCCCGTGAGCCGTTAGCCACATGGGTACCTCCACTTGTTCAGTTTGGGGGCTTTTGTTGTTGTTAATTCGCACCTGAGACTACTTTCCCATTGATTTTTAGAGAGCGTGGAAGGGGGGAGGAGGAGGAGGAGGAGAAGGAGGAGGAGGAGGAGGAGGGGGGAGAGAGAGAGAGAGAGAGAGAGAGAGAGAGA